CTATAATAATTAAAATTAAAAACCATCAAATATTTTTTAATTTAAATATTATAAATTTAACTAATGTTACTATATAATAAAATAAATAATACTGATATCAAATATTTTTTTATTATTTCATTAAATGATCTATTTTATACATGATAAAATTATAAATCATTTAATGAAATAATAGTATTATTTATTTATTTATTTATATAATTCTTTTAACTAAATATATAAAATTAATTTTTATTTAACCTTAATTTCAATTATATAAAATAACTTATTTTAAATCAAAAATACGTTACGAAACAAATAATATAATGAAAGCGGATTTTGCGATTTTATTCTGTTTTTAAAATCTACCTGCAAGGCTACACGTCGTTTATAAATATTTACGACATCTCATCTCTGACTTATAGGACGCAGATATTAGAGTGTGGCTGGAGCCAGAAAGGAGCAGCGAAGGCAAAAAATGGCGCAGTATCTCAAGCTTCCCATTATTTTCTCACGCTCCGCCTGTAGTACTGAAAATTCAAGCTTGCTTCTCTTATCCAGATCCTACCACTTCCATCACTACTACGCTTCTAAATTTCCTCCAGGTTTTCTTCTCTTTCGCTCTTTCCCCATGCATTACTCATTTGCATCTTTCCATGCAGTCAGTAATTTTCACAAACACTTGGAGGCTTCATAAATTAACATCATAAGAAAGGGAGTTTTTCTTTTATCATGATGACCCATTAGTCTTTTCCTTAATGTTGTTGCTGTTGATGATGATGATGATTATTTATGGGACGGGTGTTTGATTTTCTTCAAATTGATTTTGCTAATTGATGAAAAGAAAACTAAAATAACAGACTTGTTCATTTCTGAGCTGCAGCTTCTTAACATGCATTATCATTATTGTTGTTGTTATTTCCTTTCTTGAACTTTCAGTTAGATGGGTCAAACCAGAAATGCACTGTAGTCCAATTAGAAGCTTTGCTGCTGCTCCTGCTAAGGCTGGAAAGCTTCAACTACCTAAAAAGTAAGCTAAGCCATCCTTCCTCTTCTCATTGTGTTTCCCATGTTATACTATACATGCATTTCCATGCTTACTTCCCATTGCTTTCGCTTGCTTGCTCAGCTTGTTAATTTTATTCATGCTTTTATCCATCATATTAAGTGCTTATAAGAAACAGGAAATAGCATTAAACTACGATTTTTTTCTAATTTAAACACCATGTATTCAGGAATCAAGAAAGGACAGTAAGTTGTGCAATTAGTGTCGGAACTTGTCTCAAACGTTCTTTTATATATTCTTTTCATTGTTTCACTTTTTTTACTTTTGACAATTTCAGGAAACGGAGGCTGGATGAAATATGTCTTGAAAGGTTCCAGCAATACAGCCGAACATTTATACAATCATGGATATTACAAGGTTAGCCATGTTCTTGAATTGGTGATCACCTCAAGTTTTTAGTCCGCTGCAAGCTAAGCAATCGAATAACCTTTTTCATTAACTGGTGAAATAACTTAATTGTATTATCAACATTCTCTAGCCCTATGATTTAGTTACTTTGACAAGGAAGATGTTATAAATCCAGTTTTTCTCCCATGAATATTATGGGAAACAAATACCTGGTATGGATTTTAGCTAATGTAAGTCTGCTGCAAAGTGTTGTTATTGTTGCACATTACTAGTTCCCTCTGTATGAGCATGGCAATTTGTGTTGCTTAATAGCTGAGTTTGTTCATATACTACGTGTAACAGTGTCATGTCTGAGAGATAGCCTGCTTTGTAAACTCAATTTTCATTTATCATCGTAATATTAAGCATAGTTGATGTTGGGAGTTTGAGTTTAACAGTTTGATATGTTTTGGTGTAGGTAAAGTATTTGTGGATGGAAAGGTAGTGAACAAAGCTGGCACACCTGTGTCTGAGAAATCTGTTGTTGAGATAATTGCTGAAGTTCCAAAATATGTATGTAGGTGATTAACCCCCCATGAAACAACTCGTAATGCAATTTGAATACATGAAATTCCAGTCTGCAGTAAATTTGGTCAGGGTTGTGAGGCTTGAAGTCTTGAGCTTTACTTTTTGGTTTGCTAATCCAGGGCAGGATATAAACTAGAAGCTGCCATTGAACAACTGGATGTTGATGTAGCTGGCAAAGTAGCTCTGGATTCAGGATTGTCCACCGGAGGATTTACTGATTGCTTGCTTCAGTATGGTGCATCATTTGTTTATGGAGTTGATGTAGGTTATGGACAGGTATGAAAACCTTTATTTTTCATTATAGCAAATTTATATGGACTTTTGTTCTTGAAATGATGGCGTAGCTGACCTTTAAACAGGGAACTCTTAATGGTAAGATCATGACTTTTGTTGCTCTATAAATGATGGTGTATGCAACCTTTAGACATCAAAGTCTTGTTGGTGGTTTCTTAGTGGCTGTTGATAAATATTTACAGTGACTTCCACATCAGGTGGCAGACAAGATACGTCGAGATGAACGTGTTTGTGTGATAGAAAGAACAAACTTAAGATACCTCTCTGAACTCCCCCAAAAAGTTGATTTGGTGACTCTGGACCTCTCATTCATCTCTATTCTCCTGGTAAGCCTTCAAACATTGGTAAAATATTTTCTTGCTATATTTACAGATTTTTGACTGGTTTCATTCAACCACTCTTTTTTTCTCCTTTCATGGGAGAGGCCTCTTTAGTCCAAGGTTGTGTTATACCTTCTTGTGGTGCTTCAAAGATTTTAGTTATTTTTTCAGGTCATGCCTGCTGTAGTCAATGTCATGAAGGAAGAGGCAACGTTAGTGACCTTGGTTAAACCTCAATTTGAAGCTCGCAGATCTCAAGTAAGAAAGTAGAATTTTAATATTCCTGTCTTTTAAATTTTAACTGCTATCCAATTGTAATCCAGATTATTGTTGAAAATTGAATCTATGACACACTTGAAAGAAAACCTTTCTAATTTTTTTTGGTAATAATGCTTTAGGTTTGCCTTTTTTTCTCTAAAAAATACTTTTAAAGACTTCTTTAGGTTTACCTTTGTTCATAATTGTCTTCACCATTCAATTATGGCTAAAGAAAGATGTTTCAAATTAGTTAAATCTGGTTATTTTTTCTTGGAGAACCATTTACAATAAAGGTGAGAAGTTTAGGCTTTGGCTTAAGATTTCAAATTCCAATCAAGCAAGAGCACTAGCATAGCAGCCTTTTGCATAGCCCAATTTATGCCCTTTTTTTATCTTTTATTTTTTTACTAGAATTTGCCACATAATGTAATAAACATTACAGCAGACTTAAGTGGAAGGAAGTATTAAACATGCCTTGGTGGTGGAGTAGTAGTATCCTAATTTTTTTTCCTTAGTTTTTTTTATGTCATGCCCGCCGGTCTACATCGGTTAGTAGTACTAGTAGTGTACATGATATACAATGAGCCGGCTGTTTTATGTTTGAATAACACTTTCCAATAACTTTAGTTGCTTTTACGAATGACTGGCTATATGTGGACTCGTAGTGTGCCTTTTTCTTAGGCTTGAGTTGATACAAATGGTCTTTTCATTGTATTTTGCGAGTTAGCCATTGTTCTTTCTTGGGAAACACAGTTTAATTATCATCTCCAGAATAAATAATTCATAGTCCCTTCTCAGGTAGGAAGTGGCGGGATAGTAAGAGATTCTCAAGTCCACCAAGAGGTATGCATCCCTCAGGCCATCACTGAATCTTTCATTTGCTTGGGTTTGGCAACATGATTCTCAAGATTTTCAATTCACAACATATATATTTTCCAAAAATATATCTCAAGATTTTCAATTTACCATGGATTGTAATAGTAAAATGATGTTTATCCCTTTCCTCAAATCAGGTCAGAAAACTAAGTCCAGGGGTAATATAGTCTTTTCTATGTGATCCATTTTTCACTCTCATTTTTGGTAGGGATACGAACATATTTTCTTTTTCTTTTTTTTAGCAATGAAAAATGGAGCTGTTTTTCAACTTATAATTGCTATTTTTTTTTTGTTTTTGTATGTTTGATTTTTTTTTTAAAAATAATTTAGTCATTCAATCATGGGTTTAATGGGTGAACATAGGTTGATATCATTTGTTTTTTATTTTCTTTGTTTTCATAATTAGCCAAAAAAAATTTCCTTTTTAAAACATGTTTTTGTCAGCTGAATATCATTTTTGTCTTCAATATTTTTTTTATCCAACTTACATTGAGTGTATTGTATGACAAGAATGATCACAACTGGCCTTCTATATACATGGCAAAAGTTGGCAGAATGTATTTGGAGTAATATCTTATATGATATTGTCTATGATTTATATGGCCAAAACTCTAATAAATTTGCTTCTAGACTCACTGGACAATTGAGATAATTCACAAAATAAACAAGAGTAGAAATTACATGATAGTGCTAAGCAAAAATATGGAATGAATTTGCTTCTAATGTGTAGGTTCTTGAGAAGATAACAAAAGGCGTGGAGGGCTTTGGATTCCGTAGCAATGGTTGTATTGAGTCTCCTCTAAAGGGTGCTGAGGGTAACATCGAATTTCTTGTGCACTTCAGTCGAATACATGAAAATAGTGCAGAATGATTACTACTAGCATGAAAAGAAAGACCTCGCATTATGCCAGGACCCTATGGATGAATTATTTTCCATGTGAAGTTCGTTCACTCTCACCTTACAGAAACAAGAATCCATGGCTTCTAATGTATGTAAATTACATCCCAACTATTTATTGAAAGCACAAGAAATGCAAGACGTGATGCTATCACTCCATCTCCTATGACCTTAATTATGTGATTTTCTCGCACATGGTACAGTTGATTTGTTTTTGTTTTTTGCCTACTGCTGGTGAGGAGTCCAGTTTGTCAAGCTCTATGAATTCTCCACCTTTCTGATGTAAATCTTGCTCTCCTGCGTCTGAGACAACTGACAATGTGTTCGATTTACAACTTAATGCATGTAATCTCTTGTAGAAAAACTACAGCCTTACAGTTGTAAAAGACAATTCTTGAATAAACCTTTACAGAAATATTTTGTTTATGAATTGAGGTTTACAGGTCTGCCATCTTTCAATCATCCATAGCAGTCACCAAGATAGACAAACACTAAAAAACGATTTCTAGGATGTCGATGAAGAATTTAAACTATGGAACACAAGAAAAACAGCCTCACATGGGACATAGGAATCGTCAAAATTGGATCAAAGCTCACTGCAAGAGTAGTAATGCACTTCTTTAAGCCATGTACTTATGAGTTCATTTTTTGTCCGAAGCATTGCCGTGATTACACTGATTTTTTCACCATTTCTAGGGGGGTCTTGAGACCAACCACCTGCCCAACGACCGAGAACCATGACACCAGATATAGTTCAATGGCCAGTCCATTCTTAGCTGCAACCTCATCGCCAAGGCAAAGCAACTTCATCCATTCACGGGTCCCGCATGGATGTAATTTGTACCATGGCCTATTCAAGAATGGATGCTCCTGAATTGATAACATTCAACGAGTTACCATTTCCAAGTCCCTTGCATGAATTCAACAATTAAACACAAGTCTTTCTCAAGAAGAATTGTCATGTAATGCTTGATCAATATCCAAAATATATACAGAAGCAGCTACTGAATAAACTTAGTATGTTATTCCTCATTATCAGGAGAGGCAAACTGTATGCAGTCAGTGCCCAAAGTCGTCGAATCCATGTGTATTATTCCTTCAATGTTCGCATCGTGGGACACCAGACAAGTGTAGATTTCATCATATAACCACTTGCGATATATCCATGAAATAAAAATGCTGCCAGTTTGATAGAGCTAAAAAATTTCAAAGATTTCTGTGAATCAACTGATGCATTCCTTGATTATACAAAATCATGTGTGGTACCCCCAACCCGTGCAAACATGGAATCTCTCTTAAAAAAGGGTCTCCTCGTTCATCCTACCAGAAACAAGGATCATATCTATCTAATGGTTTTGCAGCAATTTAACAAACAAACAAAATTAGAGAAAATCAGAACACAAATGCAGAGTTATGATAAGATAATTGAGAAGAAAAAAGAAGAAGAAAATGCACCTCCTGAGTTATGAAAGTCCACTTTGTTTCCAACAACACCTTCGAGGAGCAAGCTGGAAGGTCCTTTTCAATTTCATTCAACAGCAACGGCCTTCCATCTATACACTCAACAAAAATCAGCATGTTCAAACAACTCATGGACATCACTGTGAAAACAAGCATGGACACAATGGCTTAATTCCTCTGTAATTTACAGCTTGAAGCCTAGAATAATATCAGCCCAACATTTAGACTTGATCAGTTCGTTGAATTAGCTTTAATTAGATTACGTTGGATCATTTAAGATCAGTGACCGTAAGAATAGTTTGGTAAAGAGTCAGATGGAAGACATAACTCCAGATACCAAGATGTTCACAAAATTTAAGAGGTGTGCGTGCATATACATGTATGTCCATCAGCATAAAGAAAGAGAGAAGCACATACCACTGCAGTATGCACGGAAATATAGCACAGGAACCCTGTATGAAGCGCTATATACTATATGAAAATCATAGTAATGCGCTTCATGATGATTGCTTTGAACCTGGCAGCAAAGGACAAGAACAACATCGATAATGGCAAGAAGATGAGAGTGAAAAGGGGGATAATTGTAACACATAACTTCCACAAGAGCAAGTTTCTAGATACACAAGCTTAAGCCTGTATGAAGAAACAGTAACATAGACATTGACTATCTGAGGAAGGAGGAAGGAAATACAAGTGTGGCACTATCAGCTGCCCCTTCTATCTCAGAGAAACCAGCCTCCTCTTCCACAGTGCAACTTACTTCTTCATTATTATCCTGTAAAAAAAAAAAATCAATAACAATTTCTGGGGTTAAACTTCAGGAATTAGAGGTTCATTACATGATGAAGACCAGAGCAGACCTCAGCTGAGACAAGAACACACATGTTCTCCAAAGACAAGTATCCATCCACCTGGGAAAAGAAAGGAAAGACAAAACAAACAAAAAGTAAGAGAAGCAAAGGAGGAATTGAAGGTTAAAAAGAAATCGATAAGAAAGAAAGAATAGCAACATGTTGAGAAGAAGCAAGGAAAGGAGGTCCTTTTGGAGAATTGACCCAAAACCATGAAGGGGAAGAAGAGTTATTCCTCTCCCATCTCTCGGTAAAAACGCGAGCAGCAACAGAGAAATCATTCGGCGAGAGGGTTCCATCCCAAGACGAAGAAAAACAACTCATGATTTTGCCCACTTGAGAAGATGTTTTTGCAATATATAAACAAACGACCATTGATAGAATAGGCAGGCGACAATCAATCAAAGACTTGATTTATTTTTTTTTCTCTAACAACCAGTAATATTAAATATTTTTTGATCAAAAAAAATATTTAAAAAAAAATATCAGGAAATCCACGGTTACAGGGAAAAAAAAATTAAGAAAAATAATAAGAAAAAACATGAGTTGTTAAATCATGATTTTAATTTGTAAAATTGAGGAGTCTATTTAAGAAGAAGAGGACGCGAACCCATTGCCATTGCTGTATCAAAAGGACAATGAAAGCTACTAAAATTCTTGGTGCCAGGCAATGGAGCGAACATAGTGCAGTTAATTACAGAGAATCATTTTGAGTAAAATAATATTTTTTTATGTTTTTAAAATCTAGAAATAATTTTTTTTAATATAATTTTGATTAATTTATAAAAAATTATTTTGAAAAATAATTAAATTAATTTTTAGTGATTGGTTAGGAACACGATGCAATAAAAAATCAATTTTTTTTATTTATTTAAATTTTTTATATTTTTATATTATTTTGATATTAAAAATAATTTTACAAACTAAAAAAATATTATTTTAACATATTATTTTAAACCACCCAACTTCTAAATACACGCTTGTGAGGATCGAAATGTATAAAACTGGACTGCAGTATGAATCGCAATCTTAGAGAACTGCTTATTAAGAACAATAAAAACACCTTATTCAGACATCTTTGCTTCACAGCTATTTTACAGGATCATATTTATTTCCATGGTGTCAGAAATGCACTGTACGGTAAGGAGATCTGAAATCAATTTCCATACAAGGTGCCCATTGCCCACACTTTGGCTTTCTTCTTCTTCTTCTTAGGCTTCATATCCACAGAAGGTGGCAAAAGAGTTTCCTGTATAAACCAACACAAACCCATGAATAAAAGCAATTGCCGCAGGCAGATTTCTCGATCCTTCTCTTGATCCTCCTCCACATAAATAAGAATGAACAGGCTACAAGTTAACTAAAGAAATACACGTGCAGTGTAAACACACAAATGTGCTCATACAATGAGAAAAGAGAGGCCTCAGTACACACATTGTAATATTGTATGCCTTACGTTTACCTCAAGGGGGCAGCCACGCAGGATTCAAACTGGGAATTGTTTCCTTCTCATGCTCACAAACTGCTATTTTGATTTGGTGGAAATTGATGCAATAAATTCAATCAACAAAACCCGTGGTATTTTCTGAGTGCTGTCTCAGAGAGTTGAAAGCCTGTTCATGCCATGCAGATGCATGTTATCCAATATTCCTCCTAGTTAGTGTTGCAATGGCTACAAGAAATCTATAATTACGGGTAAACAAATCTTAAATCGTCCAGTCTACATAAAAACAGTGCTCTATGAGCAGAAATTAAGATGCAAGCATTCATTGCTAATAAAACAAAAATTTTAGCGTGAAAAATAATAAAAGAACTATTTGCCCGACTCCGCCCCTGATTGCATAAGACTCGTTGAATCCTTTTTTGAGCAACAACTCAGCCAATCGCATGGAATCACCATCAAAACAACCTTACACGCAAGAAGCAGAAAAACACATTAAACTCGTACTGATTCACTCTGTAATTGACATGACAGAAAAATAAATAAGCAAGCAGTGCTTAAAGCTTGTAGCTACATAAAGCAAAAAATTGTAGAGTATTGATTATAGGCGTGGCACTTGTCAAAATACACAAGATGGTATTTGCAGGGTCTCGAAAAATCTCCAAAACATTCTTGAAAAACCCATCTTCGTCTCTCTCAAAGAATTCAATCTCGTCCACACTCTTAATGAACATCTTAAGATTGGGAGACCCCAAAGCGAAGACGCTCCTCCTCCCGAATATCCAAAAGCTGCGCATCGGGGTTATCCCGGAGTTTCCTAAATGCATCAATGGCAGAGATAAACTTGTACTTTCTCAAGTGCTCTTCAGTTAGAGGTATAACAACAAGCCAAATGAATGTGCAGCCAGCTACAAAAAATGGGTTTTTGTTCAAGGAGTCATCCATTGATACCAAGACTGATTCCAGGTTTATTTTTTCTGAAACTTGCTATCTAAAACCCAAAATAAAAAAAATAGTATAGGCCGTCTATTCTAGCTAAGAATTATGAGAATCAAATCGGTCCTAAGTTAACCAAAAAAGTGTACAAGAATATGATCAACCCACACCTAAACACTCTCATCATATTTAAAAGAGGGTACACTCTCATCATATTTAAAAGAGGGTATAAATGCAAGGGGAGGGAAAAAAATGATTTTTCCTCTCCCCCAAAGCCAGCAGCAACCCTATCTGCAGCTGCTTTCTCTCTTGCAAAGAAAATCATCCAAAACAACTTGCATGCCACCTTTTTTGAATGCTTAAGTGAAAGGAGAGTTAGAGAAAGGAAAGAGAACCGAAAACACAAAAGAAAGAAGAACTTATAGGGCTAGCTGGGACAACAGAAGAAGGGGAGAAAAACCGAGAGAAAAAGAAAAAGAAAATCACTAAAACCTTCCCTAAAGCTTGTTTAAAATCGTGTGGTAAGAGTCATATCACTTCTTTGTTTGTTGCTTTAAGATTTCAGGACAAGGGAGAGAGAGAAACCTCAAAGTAAAAGACTTAGGGTTATTACACATATAAATTCAGAAAAGCTAAATGAAAAAGTTGAAATAGAAAATGAAGGGGACACAATTTCAGAAATGAAGGGGATAAACAAACCCTAAGTGATCTTGCTAAGCAACTAGAAATATGTTTGAGCTGAAACTGAATTTATGTTATTTTAATGCCTTGATTTTTGCTTAGGTGAATATAATGAACTTGTGTGATTATGATCCAGGTGAATGAATATGTGATTATAGCATGATACTGTGAAAATATTTATGATAGAAATGATGAATTGTATATGTAAATTAGGAAAAAAAATGAGCTCAATGTCCGGCCAAGAGGAAGAACCATGAAAGGAAACTTTATACCCTTAGAGAAACAGGATATAACGGGAAATGAAACTCGATCTTGCGTAATGTAGATTTGCTATTAATTTGTGTTGATAAATTGGAATAATACAACTGAGAATATGGAATGAATGATTGATGACAACACTATGTTCGGTCATGGAATAATGGTTAGGAGAACCTTTGGAAAATGTACATGTTAAGACTTGATTGTATATTATTTGATAACCTTGTCATAAACTTGATGAGATTATGGAATGTATATAGTTCCTACTCTTGTCCATGTTAGGAAGTACATAGTGAACTAGAATGCTTAGAACACGTTTCACCATGTTACGGTGAATGAGAATTGATGCCAACATTTGAGGAAACCATAGCATACCAAAAAGGAAAGTATTAAGGTTTACGGCCAGAGATAGTTAAAAGGTTGTCTTTAATAATGTTGATGAATGCAAGCTATCATTGGATAGGAATATTTCTTATCGTTTTCGCTTCGAAAATTTAGATGTGGCTTGGTTCAGGTTTATATCAAAACTAGGATCAAGTATGTTAAAAAAAAAAAGGCTTATCATAAATCTTATACATAATCTAAGAAAAAGTAGTGTTAGAAATGATTTGCTTTTCACTAATGATTTTTAATGTCTAAAATAGCTTAATTTTCGCTGTTTATTTTTAGTGTTAGAAATGACTTGATTTTTATTAACGATTTTCAATATAAAAAATGACTTAGTTTTAGCTAATAATGTTTACAATAGATGATCAAGATTAAGCAATGTAATTAATTTTAGCTAATAGTATAACAAATTGGCTTTTCAAGCCCAAAATAATAGTAAATTTTATTTTATTTTTATACTTAACATGCATCATGTCAGTAATCGATGACTATATTGTCACACATCATCAATATATAATCCATACAACAACAATAATCAACATTTCATTTAAAAGTAAATCTTACATAAACTCATAATATTATGTTTACATGATTAAAAATTTATATTAAAAATATAAATGCATAAATATGAGTTTGTATTATATCCTACAAATTGTCATCACAAATTAAACTAAAAGGATCTAATAATAGCTATACATTAAGTACATTGATTTATAAAAAAACACATCATGAATTAGAATTTAACTATATGATTCCCTGTAAAAGTAGGTTCCTGTGTATTCGGTTTTCTAGACATCTTCTTGGTGTGACATCCCTACTGCAGTATAAAACATTTACAAAAATGCAATTACTTAATAATAAGAAGAAGAAGAATAAGAAAACAATTTGGCAGTTTAATGAAACATTAACATTATTTCATGTTTGAAGCATGATATTTGCAGTTCCTTCATGTTCTTGGTATAAACAACTTGCAGTGTATATAAATACACCAATTCTTAAATCCATAATCTTAAATCCAACCATCCTCTTAATGCATCATTTGTCGAGGTTAATCATTCACTCACCCCGGCTATCTACTTTAAATGTCATCAGTCAAAGCTAATCAACTATTTTTCTCAATCATCTATTCTGATATCATCAACCGAAATTAACATTTATTTATCTCAGTTCATTCAAATATTAATTATTTGTTTGTCCTAGTTATCTTTTCGGATGTTATTAGTCAAAACTAATTATTTATTTGTTTCAATCATCCCTTTAAATGTCATTAACAAAAACCAAACATTATATCATCCATTCAATTATTTATCCCAATTATTTTTTTAAACATCATCTGTCAAAATTAATCATTTATCAATATTTAAGTCTTTAGGCCGAAGCTGGGTTTCAGTCCAGAGAAGAAAATTTTATAAAGAAAATATTGTGCCTGTTTGTATATATTATTGTGCGAATGATTTTCTTAAGAATTTTATATTTTTCCTAAATAAAATGAGAAGACGGGTGAGATATCACTACATCCTTCTCAACAGAAAATATTAAGCCAGCGATTTTTATCATGTATAGTCTGTACTATGTACAAGATAAGACTGGTTTTAACCATTACTGTGCGAATGAGATTTCTTATTAAAAGCAGTTGCAAAATCCTCCATGCATGCCCTGTAAGTCTCCATCCCTGAAACCTCCCTTGCAAGCTCCAACCCAGCATCCATCCACCTCTGTGCCGCATCA